TCTTTAGTCTTCCCTTAAACTTTCCTGATCATTGTTTAAAAGTATCCTTTAAAGTGTTCAGTTATTTTGTCAAATGTCCCTCAATAAAGGTTTATCTGATATCTTCTCATTATTAAAGTTGAGGTAACAAACTTTTTGAAGAATACTGTAGAACTACCTCTCTCAGTATGTCATATCAAGGGATTACTGATGTTGATATGTCTTAACAATGGAAATGTAAGGTAATCCCTCAAATAAAATTTGTTCACTGTAAAGTTTGTATTTTTCTCCTTTATGAAAATTTGGGGAAGATACTTTGTTGTAAGGAAAATATCATATTTCTTCTGAAAAGCATTGTCCACTCTTTAGCATCTCTCGTTAATTTGGTCCAAGACAATTAATTCTATCTTATTCCAATTAATTCTATCTTATTCCTGATTTTCTGTTTTCCTCAATTCTCCTATATTTATTAATTCAAATTGTTCTATAAATCAGAACTATTTTATTTCCTTTCAATTCAGTGTGTGTTTTTTTTTTTTTAATCTCTGTGTGGACTCATGAATACTTACTTGACTGTATGAATCATAATCCACTTTGTCATTATTATGTTCTTCACATTGTGCCCCCCCACCCCTACCCTTTGGCCTTAGGGAGCTCTTTCACATTGGTTGATATATCCTATCATTCCTTATCATTCCCATTCTTTATTGAGCATTTCAGTGTTTTCTGTCACTACAAGATGTTCCAGAATCACCTGTATGTTCCCTGACTCATTCCTGAATCAACCATTTATCCAAGCATCCCCAGAGCCTTTCATTGGAGATTGATATTAGGAACAAGGACATTATTCTGTTAATTATATTTAAACCATGAGTTCATCTTTATTATCTTTATACTTTGTTTTCAGCAGGATATTTATTGGGAAAGGTAAGAGGTAAACACATGTTTTGCTTGCTGTCTTTAACCTGAAAACCCAATTCTTCAGATAAATTTTTAAATATGTTTTGAGGAGTTGTTCTTTTTAAGAAAAGTTACATTGTTTTCCACTTAATGTTCCCAAATATGTTTATCAATCTTTCATAAACCATGGATCTATTGAATAAAAATCAACCTAAACTGGCATAAATAGGAAAGCACAAAAACTTCCATGGACATTACTAGAATAATTGCCACAATAAAGAGATTAATAGTATATTAGTTACAGTTTATGAGAAAGTAGGAATGAATTTGTGAACAATAGGACAATAAATCTGATTCAGTTCAAAATAGAAGATATCTTTAAGTCAAAATTATATTGCAACATAGTAGACACTAAATAGCTACTTGTTGAAAGGAATGACTGGACCTTAGCATTTTCACTATTGATAAGATCTGTTGCCATGTTGTTCTCCAATACACAGCATATGTTGTAGCATGGCATCACACAACTCTTGTAATACATCATTAATTCATTCAATAAACGACTGCCACTCAGACATAATTATAGGCATATATATTTTTAAATGAAGGATTTTTATCAAGTGATACGTATTTTCAAACTTTCCATCCTTTAAAGATGTTGGGCTAAATTCACATGTATGGGATTAACTTTGAAAGATGGGGCATTTTGAACATCTATAATTATAAAATCTATGTAAATTCAGGAATGGCATGCATGACAAATATGACATTTACCTCAGACAGAAACAAGTAGATTCTAAATATTTGGAGAAATGTGAACTAGATAGATATAATTTCCCTATAAATGGGAAAGAAGACTTTTATTAAAGAGAACTTTACATTGGAATGAAAACCAATTTCATTCCATACCAAATTTTCAATTGCTGTCTACTATTTTGTTTTAAAATTACAGTAAAATCCTTTAACTTTGGGGCAAAAATAGAAATTTATAAGAATGTTTTGCTGAAAGTATGGTTTTGTTCTCATTATGTTTATTAGCTTATGCCTTAATTTTGATGGAGTGTGTCATCCAATACTTTCCCTGAAAATAGTTGTAGAAGATATTTTGTTTTAATCTTGAAGGACTGAAACTATTATTCAATAATCAAATTTAATTTACCACTTTAAAATTCATTGATTTCCTAAATTGGTCTTTTAAGTTTTTGATCTATTATTGCCAATTATTTAATTCTCTGTTGTGTTGTGCTTTGAGAGAATATGTCAACTTTATCTTCTAAACAGTGTATCACATGTTTTGTTTGATATTTCTTTTTTATTTTAAATATAATCCACTTTTCCTTTCAGAGATGTGCTATCTTGTTTTTTGGGCCCAATCCCAATGTTTTTATTACAGTTTCTTCCTTGTACTTTCTCTGGTTTTCTGAAATCGCTCTATTTTGTTTACATGTTAGTTTTGTTATCATTCATACTAGAAACTTTCTACAAACAACCCATCATATTTGAGAAAGGACAATGGAAAACTGAAGAGTTTGCTCTGTGTACCTGAATGGGGTTCTTTGACTAGTGGATTCACCATAGAATGATTGGGAGAAAACCTAACTGTGGGATAGGGTGACTTCCAATTGTCTGTGTCTCTATGTAGTTTCTCTTTGGTTGTTAGTTTCTCCAAGAAGAGGGAAAAGTCAGCTTGCTTTTTGTGGTTTACTCTCTGATGATATTAACACTTGCATTTTAGCTTTTCTCTCTGTAGATCACCTCTCTGCTTTCCATTCCCTAATATTGTGTTGGTAATCCTTGTTTCCTGCTATCTTCTGTGCTGTCTTTTTGTCCTTCAAAAATAGATATATGTGTTTAATGTCCATGTGTAAGGAGGAACTTTTATGAAAAAGGTAGTGAGCTATGACTTAAAGGATGTTTACTGTCAGTTTTACAAGTGTAGAAGTGTCTTACAATTTGAGAAAAGAAGATGCAGAGAGCCTCCCTGGTGGCTCGGGGCTTAAAGACAGCACTCTTAGGCTGTCACCAGCCACTGCAGCAGGAGTTCTATCCCTGGCGGGCCAAGGAGCTAACCCACATGGCGCAGCTGACCTCGCCTGTCTTGCCTGCTGCTCCCCTCAGCAGTGTATTTCAGTAGATCTGCCTGTTCTGCTCCCTTTTCTGTCTCTGGTAAATCCTCTCACTCCCCCGCATGTCTGGGAGTGGCCTACACCACTGTGGCCTACACCACAGTTCTTGTATGCATAAATAAATGAATCTTAAAAAAGAAGAGGCAGAACACTCTTCAAAAGAATTGGAAATTTGGTTACAACGATGCATATGATTAAGTGGACAACCTTTTTCAATCATTTGCCTACATATTTTTATGAGTATTATTTGTTTTCTAAGGAAGTACAATGAATTAATCAAATCAAACAATTATATACATAAGACATTGATTCTTTCAGAGAACTTATTCTGATAGCACAACAACATATATTACGTGACTCTTTCACTCATATGAAAAGCAGTGACTTGATTTCATGTGACAATTTGATGAAAAGTGTAGGAACTTGTATTGCTCAGAAGGAGAAGAGTCAAATATATTTCTCTACTAATTAGAGAATCTTAGTTTTTTGAATGAAATAAACAATTAAATCATACACAGTAAACAAAATTAGATTTTTACTTGGTTTCACTAATTGGTGAATTGAAATTTAAGTGGCCTTCCTGTGGTGGGAAGGACTCCTGTGAGAATCACACATGCATCTCTGAGTTTGAAGTGTTGAACTTTTGTTGCAGTCGTAGACTTCATTAATAACTTTTTGTAGATAACTATCAAATAAGTGTTTTTATTCTATGACTTCAACAATTTCTTGTTTACATGCAAAAAAAAAAAGTCTGAATCTTCTATATGGTCACTGTTAAAAATTAGGGAAATTTACAAACAAAAAAGTCTACACTAAAGGACTACTATTTTAATAATTGGCTTAGTTATTTCTACCAACACACAACAGAGAATTAGTACATTTTAAATTCATTATAGTGTGCAATTTCCCCATTTCATTAACTAGTTGTTGAAAATTTGAATCTTAATTCTAGCCTACTAATCTTTAAGTCTACATTTAAAAATCATTTTGAGGGCCTCCCCTGGTGGCGCAGGCAGTTGAGCACCGCACTGTGAAGCTGTCCGCAGCCTCTGCAGTACCAGTTCCATCCCCACCAGCCAGCGAGGGTCCCACATGGCACAGCAGACCTCTCCTGTCCCGCCCGCTGCTCCCCTCAGCAGTGTATTTCATCAATCTGCCTGTTCTGTTCCCCGCTCTGTCTCTTGTAAATCCTCTCACCCTCCCGCACATCTGGCCTGTACCCCGGTTCTTGCATAAATAAATAAATCAATCTTAAAAAAAAATTTGACTATATAAATTCCAGTAGCTTATCTCTCAAAACCAGCATTGAGGAGAAAGGGCTTAGGGGCCCTTGAGATGGTTGAAGGGGTAAGGATGAAGTGTGTGAGTGGGGCCAGCAGGGGTTGCTGTCATGGATGAGGCTGCCACATTCCTGCCGTCTCTGACCTTGGACTCACTTAACATTATAGTCTGGATTCTATTAAAGGAATTTCTTGTTTTTCCTTTGCAAGAGTCACCCCCTACCACGACAAATATTTAAAAATGTTTAAAAAAAAAAAGTTGGAAAAGCAACTTTTTCCCAAAAGAAATTTATAGTTCAAATTTACACTGAGTTCTTACTAACTAGAGCAAGCCGGGTTTTCACTAAAGCTTTGACTTTCCTCTGTAAAACATTAGTCACTCCCTTGGAAGAAGCAGTTTTTTATAGGCAGTGGGATAAAACAGCCACAGATGTGCATGTAATATGACAGGCTTTCGAATGTACCTGCAAAGCATTTTTTTTTTTATTTGTAGAAAAAAAAAAGATGAAAGAAAAAAGACTGAATCAGGATGCGAAAATAATAGTGATTCGGTATTAAGGAAATGATAAGTTTTTGATCCATTCAAGTAGTCTTTTCTTTTCCCCTTTTCTTTATTCTTAGGAAGTTCTTGAGGCTGTGCCAAGTCATTTTCACTGCACAAATTTTAAAGGTATTTGCCATTCCCATGTGTAACTGGTTGCTTTTTACTGCACAGGACTATAGTGACACCCGTGGCCCAAGAGTTTGATCCAGACGTGGTCCTAGTTTCTGCTGGATTTGATGCATTAGAAGGCCATGCCCCTCCTTTGGGGGGGTACAAAGTGACAGCAAAATGTAAGTATATCCCTTAAGACTCTATGAAATGCTATGACAAATAATATCTTTCAGGTCTTTAAGATAGATGACACCTTTTACATGCGTCTAGTAAACTTTGGTGAGACATTTGAAAATGATTCCGCCTGTGTTTATTACTGTCAGATTCCCTCTGTAGAAATTGGCCTTTGAGAAAAACAAAGTTATGCTATAAGAAATAAGTCAGAAAGAGAAAGACAAATGCTGGATGATTTCATTCATATGTGGACTATAGAGAAACAAAACAAAGGAACAAACAAAAACTAAACCGTAACAAAACCTAGAAATCTGTGGGATGAGGTGCAGAGGGGCAGGGGGGCAGGAGGGCCCTCCCTCCTCAAAGGGTGGAGGAACCTAGTGGACTGTGGTGGAGGACTGTGGGTGCCTGGTGGTGGGTGTGGTGTGGTTACGTACATCTGAAGAGGATGTGTAGCTATACCTCTGAATCATATTCAGTGTTGTAACCAATGTTATTTCAATAAAAATTTAATACAGGGAAAAGAAGAAGAAAGAAAAGAAACTGGGAGTTAGAAGAAAAAGTTAGATTGTTTCCTTTGTTTCCTTTGGTTGACTTGGTGGGATATTTCAGAGCCTTTGTTTTTCAAAACTCCCATTTGTTATTTAAAGGCAGAAGTGATAGGGCTTCTGTTTAAAATAATACTAAATGACTTAAGAGAGGTCATGATCTATAAAAGCTTTTGCACTTTTTGCAAGAATTGAAAGTCACTGTTGTTATTCCATTATACATGGGATAAAAATAGTTATTTCACAATAAGTCTATGGCTCATCCCTGTTTGGAAACAAAATATAGTTCCCCTTGCTCAATGGCTCGTGCATACTGTGGCCAGTGCTCAGGACATCTGCTGGTATTCTGCTGTGTTGCAATGATTGGCTTCTTGACTGTGTTCCTTAGCATCTAGACAACAAATGAATGTTTCTGTTATATTGCATTTGAATACTGTGACCTAATGAAATCTAGCTAAAAAGAGCCTTTCTGGGGCCACCCTGGTGGCACAAGGGGTTTAGATGCAACCTATGAAGCTATCTGCATCACGAGTTCGATCCCCTGCCAGGGAGCTACCCACATGGCGCAGCAGACCTTTCCTGACTTGCCTGCTGCGCCCCTCAGCAGTGTATTTCAGTCAGTCTGTCTGTTCTGTCCCCCACTCTGTCTCTGATGAATCCTCTCACCCTCCATACCTCTGACCTGTACCCCAGTTCTTGTATGCATAAATAAATAAATCTTAAAAAAAAGAGGCTTTCTTTAAGAATACTTTTCTTCCCCTCTGAGTGTAAAAACAAGGCATATTGTATAGTCCAGTCTTACAAATATATACTGGCATTCTGTGTATCTACATAAAAAAAGAAAGAAAAAGGGAAATTACATAGAAAATGGGGTCTACTATTGTATATTTTAAGGGGAGTTGAAAAACAAACAAATCAAAAACAACATAAATAGTTTCAAGTGGGAGAGATGAGCTTGGAGCAAATGTGTTTTATTAATTTGAAAAGAACCAAAGAAGCAGCATCGTGCCAACCTTTGTTTTTAGTTGGCTTCTCATGTGAGAGAGTTTTCTGCACTTTAATTGTTCCAGTAACATTGTTAGGTAGTAGTTATTTTTAACATCTATTATTTACCCAGGGTTCTTGGTGCTTTGTTGTTTATTGAAAACATATTAAAAGAGGCAACTCCACAAAGACAAACAAAATATAATAATTCACAATTTTGGTAAAATTTAAAAGAGGTGTTTGGTCATATCAAATGTCTTTATGATTCTTTTTCTTTCTTCGTGAAACTCCGCTCAAATGGAAGTCAGTAGTCTTTCCATTGCACGTAAACCTCGGTTGGGTCAAGACTGCTGAATAGTTTTATTAAATAAAGGGGAAATAAAAATCTTGTACACCAAAATGAGATAAACACAAACAATATAAAAAACACATGGGTCAAAGCAAAAATCTAGAAAAGGTGTTCTTTGCCGTTAAATCCAAGAATCTCCCTCAGAATCTTAAAGATAAAGAGAAATATCTTTGTATGGGTCTGTCTCCTTGCCACAGGGGTAAGTTGTAACAGGTCCATTTCTGAGAGCTAGCTAAAAAAAAAATAATAATGTTTTAGTTCACTTATGTTTTTTGTTCCCTGTTTTCCAGGTCAAGTACAAATCTCAAATGTTATCTTGGAAAGTATGATAGAAAGTCTTAGCAGCATGGTTTCTTTTGGTCATAGACAAAAGAAACATGGTTCCTACCTTTTATTAGCTTCAGTTCAAAGCACTAAGACAATAAATACATTGTGTTTTGTTGGTTTTTTTTTTTAATCCATTATTTGGAAGCTCCTCATTGCTTTCTACTCCAGGATTAATTTGTGTATAATTGCTGTACTCTCTCAACCCTCCTTATAAATATCCTCCCTTCTATGTCTTCGCTACTGAAGAAACCATTAAGCTTCTCACTAGATGACTTGTTTCCTAAGGAAAACAAAAAGGCATAAATTTAAGTGATTTAATAATTGACTTTTTGTTGAGTATTTGACATTTAATAAGGGAAAGATAGGAAAAGAGGATCTTAAAATCAAAAGGACAGTCGTAGAAGCTCTCAAAAACAATTCACATATTTCATAAATGAAACTAATTTATTGTACCATCTGAAATAATTGGGGGTAAAAATCAAAGTACTTACTCTGAATTTGTAGTTAGATAAAAATGAAACTTTTGCTCAATTTTTCCCCACAAACATTTCCAAAAGTGCATGAGAACAGAGAACTTGGTTGCACATGACAGATGCTATTTTAGTGCCCAAGACCCCTAACTCCAAGCATAATCTGTAAAGGACACTGACTAGTCCCAGGATACTTAGATAAGAAACAGCAGAGCATTATATCTGGGCAACTACTTCTATATATCATTTCATATATATATATATATATATATCTGAGATGCTGCCACACTAATTGGATAGAAGCTAGAATTACCTAACAGCCCTATAGTTCACCCCCCAAACAGTTCACCCCGGTGTCTCTGTTCACTTCCTAACCACCTGGGAGATGCATTTATATTGCTTTGGTTTGAAAGTTCTGGACAATTAATATTAGGCTCTGCCATATTAGAAGTTACCCTCCATTTGGTGGGAGTCCTAAAATGATATTAGAAATCAGACTTAAACCTAAAGTAAAAAGTAGGACAAAGTTACAGAAACAAAATTCTCAAAGTTTTCCATTTTAGCAAAACTAATCCCTGCCTTAAGGAAAATGTTTAAAGACTTTAGAGAGTGGTTTTAAGGATACTGTCATGTCAGAGATACTAAAACTTAAGTCTCAATCACTTTAAATCAATCTTTTAAAATAATTTTGTTTGACATCTCTGAAAGAGAAAGATAAATTTAGTCAAAATGTGGAGTGTTATTGTTTGTTTTGAAAGAAACAAATTAGCTGCCTGATTTTCAGTTATATTTATTGTTTGTCAGTTGAATTTTTTCTAAAAATTGGTTGATGTTATAACAAAGGTCTCAGTCCAAATATAGAAGGATTTAAAATAACTTTTTTATATATTTTTAGTTTTATTTTTTTTAATTGAGGTAATATTGATTTACAACACTGTATATGATTTAGGAATATAGGTCCACAATTTTGCATATACGTAATTTAATTACAGCTTATCTGGGCTATTTTTCATCCTTCCTTGTTTTTCCTCTCATTTCTTACATATTATGTGTTGTTTGGATTAAGACTACAGTAAAATATTCACAATTGTTTGTCCTGAAGTTTTAAATAAATTATCTGTATTATTTACTTAAAATCTATGCTGTTTCAGTTAACCACTGGAGTTAGGGCTGTATCCTTCCCTAAATCCTACATTAAAATTTTCCTTATTATCAGATTATCTTTTTAAACACTCTTACTTAGATTGAATTGTTTTCAGGCTACAGTTTAAGAAGGTTGGCATGACAACTGTCATGTTCAAACAATAAAATGACTAACTCACCATATTGCAGCACCCCCTAGCTTCACAGTGTTGTCAGCATAAAAATAAATAAGGTTCTGTCATTCAAATTCCTTTTATAACAAATTATATTTTTCTTCCTATTAAGCATATATATACACATACATAGGTGTGCTCTTCTCTCACCATGATTTTACCCCTTATATTAAAATGAACATAACTATGCTAAATCTCTTTTTTTCTCCTGTTATCAAGACTTATTTTAAAAAAAAAACTTGATTTCATTTATGTGTTTTATTACTTGATTATATAATATATCGTGTTCAAAGTGAGTACTTCTACTATTGTGATAGTTCTATTTGGCATGTGCATCTCTTATTAATTACAGAATTAATGCTTTGTCTGTCATAATAGAACTTCAGACCATACCAAACAGATTTGGAGAAAAGGAGTGTCTGGAAGATATCTCCCAAATGCTGCCATATGAAGGCTTAACCTAAAACTTGAATAATTTAGATTAGTGTACAAACTGGGAGGGCTGTTATTCAGGATTGAGTATTCAAAGTATCTGCCCACCTGGCCCCCATCACATGGGCTTCTCTTACACAATTCTGTGCTGTAGCCTCAGAAGCTAAACCAATGACTGGAATATAGCCTAAGTCTTAAAAAAAAAATGAGTAAAGCCAAAGTGATGCCACGATTTTTTAAGTTTGTTAAGTAGATTGATGCTACTTGAATTAGGATTTTATGATTTTTTTTTCAGTGCCATCTTTCCTGGTCTTAGACAACAATCATATTTCTTATACTATTATAATGTGTTTCATTTTTTTTATACAAGAACTGGGGTACAGGCCAGATGCATGGGAAGGTGAGAATATCCACCAGAGACAGAATGGGGAACAGAACAGGCAGACTGATGAAATACACTGCTGAGGGGAGCAGTGGGTGAGGCAGGAGAGGTCTGCTTAGCCATGTGGGATTCTCGCTGGCCAGCCTGGATTGAACCAGTGCTGCAGAGGCTGCGGACATCTTCACAGTGTGGCACTC